CACACACACACACACACACACACACACACACACACACACACACACACACACACACACACACACACACACACACGGACGATGTTAACGAGAATGGATCACGAACACCCCCAAGAAGTAAACGGGATAGAAGAAGCGACGAGGGCGCATCGAGGCAAGGCAGAAAAAAAAAAAAAGGGAAAGAGAGGGAGATGGCCGTTGAGCTCACCTTATTTTTGCAGGGGGATATGCGCCTATGGTGGAAGTCGAAGCACTCACGATAGTGCGCATAGCCCGCTGTCGAAGGGGTTTTGTTGATGGCAGTGGACGGGTTGGGGGGGTGTTGGGGGAGAGCGTTTGAGGGCCAGGGAAGATTGGGCGGTGCCGAGCACGGGAGCAGGGGTTTAGGGGTAGAACTAATGTGCACGACTTTACGACGATGAAGAAGAAAAAAACCGGCAGGAATGTGGCGCTGGATTGAAGCCCAGCGATCGAACGTAGGGCTGGGAACAATCCCGCCACACAACAAATCTGCTCGTTTTATTATTATTATAATTATTCTTTTTTTTTTTTACAAAGAAACTCTGCTCTTTCTTATTACCACACAAAAGGAGAGGCCGGGAAAACCTCAACAAACAACCCGGGAAGGAAACAATTCTGGGACCATTACCCAGCTTAGGTGCAGGCCTTGGGACACTGTGGTCTAGTAGCAGAGTGGTCAAATCTCGACCGCTGCCCTGACACATCCCTTTTTTTTTTTCCTTTTTTTTTTTTTTCAAGAGACATCTAGATGTCGGACTATATCCTCCAGCCTCATCAAGTCAAGTTACAGATATGGTCCCCAAAGACAAGTCAAAGACACAGATGTACCAAGTCAGAGTTTAGGATTCTAGCAACAGCTACGCGACAAACAGGCTAACTTAAGGGCGTCGTTTGACACACCTCGGGGACGTGATTCCAAGGATTTCGTCTTCGTTCCACCTGTCCTCGGAGCCGATTTTCGAAACCGAAATGTGAAAACACTCCGAGGACAAATCCTCGGGCTCCGAGGATTTTCCAGCCAAATCGTCCTCGACTCCAAGGGACCTCGCAAGGTCCCTCGGAGTCCGAGGATCCGCGATAATCGGGGTGTCGGCGGTGAGTCGAAAGGGGAAATTGGTGGTTGGAGGTGGTCCAGTGCTGGTCCTTCGTGTTGAAGATGGACATCACGAGGCGCCAACGTCCAAAACGTCCACGAACGGCCTCGTCTTTTTACCGTCGTCGGGGATTGGCGGTACGTCCCTGTCGGTTCGTCGGGCGGCCCCACGGCGGTGCCATGCCGGGCATCGAACGATTTCGGGCGGGTCGTGGAGGTGTCGTAGCGTTACCGCGGGCTGCCCAACAGTCGGAAACGCGAATTTCTTTAAGCATCCACCCCCGGCCGGTGGCTGCAGCAATTTCGTGCGTTGGCGTCTTCCCTTGTGCAACGTGTGTCTCCGGTCGCCGCGATCGCGACAGCCAAGTGCGTCCCCTCTCCTTCATGGCTGACCTGTGCCGCAGGCTGCCTTTGTTGCTGCTTGCCACTGTACTGCTGCTTGCCGTTGTCGTCTTTCATATCTGCATCCTCGGTCGCGTCCCTGGGAGGAAAGAGAGGTGGCGAACGACGAAGGCGACCGGGAAGATGGAGAAGGTGCAGACGAAGAGGACGATGTCCGTAGGGGCTGGCGGGTCGTCACGTCAGCGTTGCAGCTCTACGGAAGGCGGCAGGCGCCCGTACGACCCGATGCTGTACAGCCACCTGCCATCCCACGAGATTCCATTGCCTCCGAGTGACGACAACAGCGACAAGCCCCGATCATCAACGGTTCCTCTGGGCAGCGGTTCGACGCAGGATTGGATGGGGAGCCAGCTGTACAGACAGCCCTCGACGCCAACGTACACTGATCTGCTGGAGGGGCGGACCCAGGTTGGTTATGACGGAGGGCTCGTAGATCTCAGCTTCGGTTTGAGGTCTGGGAGTGGCCAGGACGTCACGCACACCATTCTCGTGAACCCGGGTTCTGCCAGCAACCACACAGCGCCTTCGGTGGGGCCGTGTGGCCTTCTTGACACCCGCGGCCGGGGTTCTGGTCAGTCGGGCGACGAACGTGGACTCGTTTCGCGAGGGCGGGCGGCAGTGGGCACAACAGGTGTTCGCGTGGAGGGGACGAGGATAGGTGGATCGACAACGGCAGGCGGCGGTCCACCGAGGAGGGGATGACGCTGACGGCTACGCTGCGGAGGTCGCGGAGCGAGAGGTTTGGGATGATTACCGGCGACAATCGCGTCAATCTAGCACGTCCGCCAAAACGAGAGGGGTGGCGAAGATCAATGCACGGGCGGACGACACACCCGGCGATTGCGACGGTGCGGGTGGTGAAGATTGCTCGACAGGCGACGGGGGCAATGACAACGACGACGACGACGACGGGGAGATGGAGATTCGTCCGCTGGGGAAGAAACGGGGAGGGCCCAGGGCGACGAGCAAGTCCAGCGAGCCGCGCGCGGGGCGGAGAGGCAAGAAGACTGCGGGAGATGCGTCGGTAGGCGACGGAGCGAAAAGCAGGGATTTTTGGACATGATTGCTCTTGTCAGAGCTAAAAGAGACCAAGATTTGCATCTTGCTGGCCTCGGCCACAACATGGGAAGGATGAAGACGAAGACATGGAAGTGGGCCGACATCGAGAGCAGGCTCGTGCAGATGGGGGTG